ACAGGAAAGGGCAGGGAAGGAAAGGGAAGGAAAGGGAAGGGTGGAAAAGGAAAGGGAAGGGGGGGGAAAGAGAGAGGGAGAAAATCCTCCGTCGCCCCCTCCCCCTCCCTAGAAAAAAAAATAGCTAGACCGCGAGCGAGAGGAGGGGGGCTCGCAGCGGCGAAAAATAAATAAAATAAAGAAAACGGCAGGAGCGGCTCCAGCCGGCAGCAGCGGCGGCGGCAGCAGGGCAGCGGCGGCGGCGGCGGCAGCCGAGGCGGAGGCAGGCGGCAGGCAGGGTCCCCTCGCTCTCCGCTCGCCCCCGGCGCCCGGCCGGCCGCCTCCCCCCCGCCCCCCGCCTCTCTCCCCGGCAGCCCGCAGCGAGACGCGCCGCTCCCCAGCACTTTTTTGGGCCCGAGATATGGCAATGGTAGTTAGCAGCTGGCGAGATCCGCAGGAAGACGTTGCCGGGGGCACTCCGAGTGGCCCCAACCCCGCCGCGGCGCAGCCGGCCAGGGAGCAGCAGCCCCAGCAGCAGGGGGGCTCAGCAGCCCCACACACCCCGCAGACCCCCAGCCAGCCGGGACCCCCATCCACGCCGGGCACGGCCGGGGACAAGGGAGCGGGCCAGCAGGGCTCGGGGCAGAGCCAGCAGCACATCGAGTGTGTGGTGTGCGGGGACAAGTCCAGCGGCAAGCACTACGGCCAGTTCACCTGCGAGGGCTGCAAAAGTTTCTTCAAGAGGAGCGTCCGCAGGAACTTAACTTACACATGCCGCGCCAACAGGAACTGTCCCATCGACCAGCACCACCGCAACCAGTGCCAGTACTGCCGCCTCAAGAAGTGCCTCAAAGTGGGCATGAGGCGGGAAGGTGAATATTTCTTCCCTACTATGCTATCGCTCCCCTCTCCCCGCGGCTGTGCAGGCGTGCGTGTGCGAGGGTTCTCCGTCTGTCTGTGTCTGCCTGTCCGTACGTGCACACACACGCACCTATATGCATATACATATATATATATATATATATATATATATATATACACACGCGCTCACTCGCGTGGAGTGCAAACGCACACACATATTAATATATATATATACATATATATACATATATATATACACACATATATATGTCTGTGTATATATATTTACGGCTCTTCGTGGCGATCTAGGTCTCTCTCTATATTTCCATGCACACGTCAATCTCTCCCTCTGCCTGCACTCCATCTGGCAGCTTTGCGCCAGGTTCTGTTGTTATTGTCGATGGTGGTTGGTGGTGTTTTCTCTTGCTTTTCCGTTTGTGCCTCCTGCCCTCCCTCCCGCTCCTCTCCACCCCCTTCCCCGGTACTGCCGCGCTTGCCCCTTCCCTGCTCATTGTGCAGAGAATTTATTATTATTACTATTAGTATTGTGATCGCTTGCTAAATATTTGTCATTTAGCCGCTATCCCCGCTTCCCCCCTGCGCGCGCGTGTATGCATGTGTGCGTGTGCGTGTGTTTTGGATGTGGTTTTGTCTATTGTTGGCATGAGACCGGAGGGTGGGGGGAGATACATCTTTCTCCCGTACTATATGTGATTCCATTCAGCTTCCTTCCCCCTAACCCTCCCCACCCCTTTTCCACCCCATCATTTCTTTTTAAACCCGCAACACTTCTCAGTAGATTCATTTCTCAGGCTCATTTTTCCCGAAAGAAAGATGAAAGATGTGTAAATAGGGAGAGAAGAAAAGGGGTGAAGAAGATGGAAGGGGATAAAAAAAAAAAAAAAAAAAAAAAAAAAAAAAAAAAAAAAAAAAAAAAAAAAAAAAAAAGAGAGAGAGAGAGAGGAAATGTGCTACTGTATCTCCTCTTCACTGTGCTTTCCGGTGCCCCGGAGTGTGCTTCTGTGCGAGATCTGGCCTTGTTTTCATTCCATGCGTTCAAAGCAAAGTTTGTGACTGAACCGTGTTTCTGTACTTCTGTCATTTCTCAAATTTCTTTCTTTCCTTCCTTCTATAATTTCTTTCTTTCTCTCTATAATTTCTTTCTTTCTCTCTATAATTTCTTTCTTTCTCTCTATAATTTCTTTCTTTCTTTCTTTCTTTCTTTCTTTCTTTCTTTCTTTCTTTCTTTCTTTCTTTCTTTCTTTCTTTCTTTCTTTCTTTCTTTCTTTTTTCTTTCTTTCTTTCCTTCTTTCTTTCTTTCTTTCCTTCTTTCTTTCCTTCTTTCTTTTTAAGCTCGCTGCACATTTTATTTCTTCATCAACTCCACTCTCTCCTTAAAGTCTGCATACAAACCTCGATTTATAACCTATTTACCGGTTCTTCTCATTTTAGAAGTATCCGCAGCCTGCATCTGGCAGCGGGCTCCCCACCATTTCCAACTGCTCTGCTATCTTTTTTTTCCTCCTCCTTTCCAAGAGTTGCTGTTTCAAAGAGTTGGTTTTCCTTGAGTTCAGACTCATTATCGTATAGGGAGATTTCCTGCCCTCCTTTCTTCTCGAAACGTATTTTCTCGGTTTATAGTTAAAGTTTACCCTGTGACTGTCGTTAAAGATGTCCTAGAGTAACATCAGCGAAATAGTCAGTTTTGCGGAGCGGGGATTACTACTACCTTAATTGGTTTTAAAATTATATTTTATATGCCACAAGAAAAAGAATGAAGCTGCAACAGATCTGAAAGAGCTCGTAAATATGACGGCTTCATTGGTAGCTTCAGGGGTTGTTGTTAGGCGTCTGGGAGAGCGGGGGGGAAGCAAAAAAAAAAAAAAAAAAAGAAGGAGGAAAAAAAAGTAAGACTTGTGCTCGCAGTTAAATGAAAATAACTGCCAAGTTTACAAGCAGATTGAAGAGGGAGAGGTGGGCTGGAGGGCAGCAGGAGAGAGGTCCAGCCCGGGAGGCGAAGAGGGCTCGTTGGGGAAGAAAAGAGAAAGTTGAGAAAAATGTGGCACGCCGGAAAGATGAGTGATCTGCGTGTGCGGGTGTGTGCCAGCGAGCGTGTGCGGGTGTGCGTGTGCGTGTCTGTGTGCAGGGAACAAGCCTGAGTAGCCGTAGCTTCCCCTGAAGTTACCTTTGTTTACATGGCATGCGGCTGCAACCGCTGGCACTGATGAAGTAAAACACGCACACACTAAAACAGAAAAAAAAAAAAAAAAAAAAAAAAAAAAAAAAAAAAAAAAAAAAAAAAAAAAAAAAAAAAAAAAAAAAAAAAAAAAAAAAAAAAAAAAAAAAAAAAAAAAAAAAAAAAAAAAAAAAAACACCACACTTCGGTCAGCTTTCGGGACTCGAGGCATGCTCACGCTCTGTGTGGAGATGGTTAATGACTCCAGTGTTTTTGCAGTTGCAAGCTTGTGCATTCACTGTGCAAAGCTGACTGCAGGCTTTTGCAGTGGCAACAGCTCACCAAAGATATTAATTACACCGTCCCCTTTTTTTTCCACGAATGTTTGGCTATTGTAAGTTTGGACCTTTTGTTTTATTTCCCCATTTCCAATGATAATATTTAACCTTTCTCTTCCTTTTAGCAGGGAGAACTTTGCTGGGCGGGGGAGGGGGGTCCTCTATGGAAAGCTGTTTCTGTGTAATAAAGTTAGCAATGGGAAGCTGGAGGGCTGCGACCTGTTCCAGCTTGAAGGGTAATGATGCAGTATTTCTGAAGAATATGGACACATTTGGGTTTATGAATTATTTTATTTAATATTTTATTTTAAAAAGCGACACATCAGTTCACTTGTAAATATCAGTGCTATCAGAACAGTCGGCTGGGATCCACAACAGAGCTTGGCTATAATTTTTACACTTGGCTGTGATTTTTAACTCCACTTTCTCACCACTCGGAGGATTTGATTTTATTTTTTTACGTGCGGGGCTGCCTTTTGTTGTTGGGGGGGGGAATGGGAGGGCGGGGGTTTGTGTGCGGATTTGTCTTGTTTGCCTTGGTTTTTTTTTTTTTTTTCCCTTTCTTTTTAATCT